AGCGTGGTTTAAAGGGAAACAACCTGGTGTTGGTGATGGGGTGGCCCGGCAACTTCGACTTCATGCGCTGCAGTTATGTCATGGCAGGTCAATCTGCACAGGCAGAGCGCTCTGAGGAGGTTCCTTTCTATGGCGTTGGGGGGTGCGAGGCGCAGATATTGCCTGGAGACACTAAAACTCCTAGGAACTCCTGGGCTAGAGATCCGGTCTACTTATTAGTATACTTACGGTACGCCATCTATTAACTGTAACTATGCATCCACCCCACCTACCTACAACAAAAACAACCATAANGACCACTCTTTATTCTCTATATCTATAGTAATAAGTATATAGAACGATATTACATTGTTAAAAGAATTTCGTTCTAATATGATTTTCTTCTATAGATACAAATGTGGAATAGCATAGGGAGTGGCTAGAACAATAGTGGCCGGGACACTAACCAAACATGTTACCGTTTTGCTTCGATGAAGATAACAAAGACGATTCTACTCAGCCGCAGTGCTACGCTGTCTACGTTGACATCTTTCAAAAGCTCAGTGTTAGACTTTTATTCAAATGGTTACTCTTTCGTTTTCATTTTAACATCACCATACTTCTAGGCAACTACTATTTTCCCTGAAATAGGATTGGCCCAAACAACTCATAGTTGTCAACAAAAACTCGACTAGGTAATACTGATACGCATTACATCCTTCTTTTCACTTCAACAAGCGGGCCGTCTTTCCAGGATGTGAAAATATCCGCTAGTTCGTATTCCTTGGTCTGATCCAACCCCAATCCGCTCTTCTTCCCATTCAACCAACGTTCTCTGCATAGCCGTACATCATATTTCCACAATAAAGTTGCATAGAGAACCTGCATTTGCATGTAAGCTAGCGGCCTACCAATGCAACTCCTAGTGCCGGCGCTAAAAGGTAGAAACGCGCTAGAAGCTCGCTTTACCATCTCTACAGAAACGATAGTACCGTCAGCTAATGTTTCTCCGGGGATCCAGCGCTCAGGTTGAAACATAAAAGGATCGGGAAAATACGATGCATCGTGGTGCATAGAAAAGACAGGAACGCCTATATTGGTGCCAGAGGGATATACGAACTCTCCCACCACAACACCTCCTGGCTCGACCTGTCGTCGTAAAACAGAACCAGCGGGCGGCGCCAACCTCAATGCCTCATCGATACAGGCTCGTAGATAAACACAAGAACCGGTACCGTTGGCAAATGAGATATCTTCCGCACTGGCAAAGACGCTTCGGATCTCTTTTTGTAGCCTCTGCAGTTTCGACTCAGAGTGGAGCAGATAATACATAGCAGCAGATATCGTTGTGGAAGATGTGTCACCACCTGTCAAAAGTTAGGTTCTGCAAAGTTCCTAAAACAACACATATGACACATACCTGCTGTTATTAAGAGAATAATCTCTTCTTTGAGTTCGTCCATTGAGAGATGCTCATTAGAGTCCCCATCCAATCTATCAGTGAGCCAAAATACAAAGTCTTTTGTATGTTTGTCTATGCCATCCAATTTGGCTCGAACACGAGCTGTCGCTCCCTCTTCAACAAAATCATCGAAGGGTTTGGAAGACGAGATAGATTTGTATAGAAGCTTCTTGAGTTTCCACTGCTGGAGGATTCGAATGGAAGATCCGGTCTGAGCAGGCTTATTAGAGCGAGTTTTGCAGCACCTATCAAAGCGTAATATAAGATCTTACCACGTTCTCAGCCCACATGTTCTCGTGGATGATGTCTACCATGTTTCTGTTTTGTGACGATTCCATCATGCTAAAAGACCGAGAAAGGGATAAATGGCTTGACAGATCAAAAGAATATCGGTTGATCCAGGTGGAGAAGTTCTTAGGTGTGCTCCATGCCCATGTAGCGGTCTTCTCATGGGCAGATCGCCCCTCCCCATCGTCGTCATCGAGAAACTCTAAGCATTTACATAAAATTGAAACATACTTCTTTACGATAGACTCGGCATCCTTTAGAGCTGAATCTGAAAATCCGTAGCGAAGAATCCGTCGTTTACGCGCATGTACACCCTTATCTATAGCCGAAAACAAACTTGCTTTGTTGGGATCCCGTGGGAATGCAAGATAGGAATCCGCCTTTCTTGTATGCGTGCTGACAGTGTAGAGCTTTCGCACTGCTTCTGGACTTCGAATACTGACGTGATTGGGGCCATATCGTACTACTTGGCCATAGCGCTCGTGCAACACGTGCATATTGCGAGCCTCGTCACACTTAACGATATGGAACGTATTGTAGAAACTCGTGACTTTAGCTATAAGGGGTCCAGGAAGTGATCGGAGCGGATGAAAATAGAGCCGATACAGAACTAGACTAATGAGTGAAGCCTAGCATGTTTCTTAGCGATCACCCTGCAATTTTGCATAACATGAAAACCTGGATTTCTTAACTCACAATGAATACCGCCACGACAGCGCCAGCGAGGTTGACGCTGTCACGGTGTTGCACGGGGAACCCTTGCATAAGTTCAAGAACACCAATACCCGTACCGTTTTTCATCTTAGCTGTCACAAATAATTTTCTTACGATTAGATTTCCATGACAATGACATGTTCGATTTCAACGGAGAATATATAGATAGAGACTTCAGAAGCGTTACAAATCCTTGTTTTATAATCTTAGTATATACAGGGATCATGGATGACGTGATCTGAGTGATTAAATAAAATCATGTCAGCATTACATCATCATCACTTTGCTTTCTATGTAACGATACAGGGAGCAAATCGCTCTGTTCAAGAGTTGTTAGCCAAGTCGTGACCGGTTTAGAGAACCCATGTGCCACTTTCTTATACAGCGTTCAATTCGTAACCCTTCATCCAGAGGATTGAGTTTCTTAGACACCATCATTCGTGCAGTTGGTTCCAACCATCAATCGTGAAAATGCATCCCAATGCAGAACGCGAATTGTCATACATACTTCTAACAGAACTTTTGGCGTAGGTATGCGGAAAGCTATTGGCAAAAACAATGGAAATGCTAACGATAGACGATCGTAGTCACCAGTTCGCATATCCAGTCAGATGGTTCGTAATCACTGTCCAGTAGCACAGGGATTCTTTCAGCTGCTCCTATGCTTATTCTAACTCATTCTCGGTACAGGATCGAAACTCAGCACCATATATTATCTGAACTGGATTCCGAAAGAGTAGTCGAGGTCGGGCCAGCCAATATTTTGACGAATATGATGAAGAAGACGTGGGAACAGCAGTTCGCAAATATAGACCAAGCCCTTGGTATTGAGAGAAAGTTTTTTGGGCCTCGAGATGTCTTCTTTCCGCCAAATCGCGAGAACATGGATATGTTGAGAGCGGCGTCCAAGAAAACGCTACCAGAGGCACACCCACCTCCTCCAATCGACTCTCATCAGGAACCGTCTACTCAAACGCAAGCAACCCACCGTTCTGCCGGAGTGCCTGTATCTTTACCACAACAGATTGCAACAAACATCCCGCCTGCAATACTGGAAGATGTTTCGCTGCCTGTCTCAACTATTGTAAGGTCGCTTGTGGCCATGAAACTGAGAAAAAGGTCTGATGATATCTCAGAAGATCAGACCATAAATCGCCTCGTTGGTGGAAGATCTACTTTGATGAATGAAATTCTAGGAGACCTACATGCTGAATTCCCAGGTCATGTGCCAGAACGACCAGATGATATACCAATAAAGGACTTAGGCGAAACAATGTCTATCGGTCACAATGGACGCTTGGGTAAATGTACTGCGTCGCTGGTCAACAAGATGATATCGTCGAAGATGCCCGGAAATTGGGGGCAATCATCTGTACGCCAGTTCCTGCAGCAAAAGTGGGGCTTAGCTCCTATGCGTCAAGATGCGTTTTTACTCCTTGCAGTCGAGAAGCAGCCAGCTACGCGACTGAGTACTCCCGACTCGGTTGATCAGTTTCTTGTGGATATTGCTACTGAATATTTTAAAAAAGAGGGAATGAGCATACCTCAAGCAACTCAACAAGAAAATAGTTCTCAGGACAGTACTGCTCGCATAGTTGACGTGCAAGGACTGCGAACCGCCGCAGTGGTGGATACGGCAATGGTCAAAGACATTATTGAAGTATTGAAGGGGTATTCCAATCAACAGGGAAATGCGTTAGAGGCCACAATGCCTCACCATACTATCGATGCTTCACATAACGCTAGCGAACCCGTGGATCTTTGGCTTACCGAACACGGGGACGAGTACGCTGCGGGAATCCAACCTATGTTTGATGGACAGAAAGAAAGACTCTACGACTCTTACTGGAATTGGATCCACCAGGATATAACCGAACTGGTAACTTTGAGCAGAGCAGACGATTCTGACAGTTACCCTGGGTTGGTTGGCCTGACCATGAGAATATTGAACAAAATTTGCGATCGTTCCCTCGATCATCTTTCTTATGCTATAACCCAGGCCAAGATATCTGGCTCCCGAAATCCGATCCATATTCAGACGTTGCAGAGCGTATACGAATCATCCCTGATCTTCAAAGCCAAGAATCCCATATTTCTGAATCGTACCGGGGGAGATACCACTGCAAGATATACTGGACACGATGGTCTTGTTTCCAGCTTAATGAAGCATGTATATGACGGCTTCATACCAAAAGATACCTTACCGTTGGATATACCTGTGGGTAAACTCACAGGACAAGGCTTCGTCATATCCCCTACCCATACAAAAATGTTTGCTACAGATGTGGATAGATCAAGGGTTTTGGGACTCACATTTGTCGGGAAAAACGTTCTGATAACAGGCGCTGGAAAGAACTCCATAGGCCTGGGTATCCTACGCCATCTTCTCTCGGGAGGAGCTCGAGTAATAGTGACTACCAGCAGCTACACGAGCAAAACGACAAGGATGTATCAGGAGTTGTATGCTAAACATGGCTCCAGGGGATCCATACTTCGACTGATCCCGTTCAATCAAGGCAGCTGGCATGACGTGCAAGGCCTAACTGAATGGATCTACAAGGACGAGTCATGGGATCTAGATTTCATTATTCCCTTCGCTGCAGTCCCGGAAAGGGGAAGAAGTCTTGAAAATCTAGACTCAGGATCAGAGCTAGCGCACCGTGTGATGCTTACGAATCTCCTTCGTCTTCTTGGTGGGATTTCCCGAAACAAACGATCAAGAGGCATCGTCACACGGCCTGCAACTGTGTTGCTTCCGTTCTCGCCAAATCACGGAATTCTAGGGAACGATGGGCTTTACTCTGAGAGCAAAGTTTCATTAGAAATACTTCTAAACAAATGGGCGTCGGAGTCATGGGCTGACTTCCTGTCGCTAATGGGAGTAATTATCGGTTGGACGCGTGGTACAGGCCTTATGGCAGAAAACGATGAGATTGCCGACGCTGTAGAGAAATTGGGTGCCAAAACATTCAGCTCTGACGAGATGGCTGGATATATTGCCACCTTGATGGGTGGAACAATCACAACTGAATGCCAGAAAGAGCCCTTGGTTGTTGATCTCGGCGGTGGGCTATCCCGCATCCAAAATTTGAAAGGACAACTAGCCGACGCTCGAAAAGCATTGCGCGAATCAGCGGAGCTACAGAGAGCTGTTGCAGAAGCGAACTTACGACAATCCATCTCTATTTCTGGAGAAACGTCTAGAAAAACGTCATCGTCAACAACACTGCATCCTAGGATAAGTCTGAAGCTCTCTTGGCCACAGTTACCAGACTATAATCAGGATATCTCACCACTATCTGACTCATTGCTGGATATGTTGGACTTAAGCCGTGTTGTCGTCATCACTGGGTTTTCAGAGTTGGGGCCCCATGGTAATAGCAGAACGCGTTGGGAGTTGGAGAGAAATGGGACCTTATCTCCCGAGGGTTGTGCTGAATTAGCCTGGATGATGGGCCTCATTCAGCATCATTCAGGAATATCCAAGGATGGGTCCCCGTTCTCCGGATGGATGGACAGTACCACGAAAGAACTCGTTGAAGACTTTGACATCCTTTCCCGCTACGAGTCCAGAGTTCTCAAGCATACTGGTATCCGAAAAATCGAGCCTGATATCTGTGACAGTGGATACGACCCAGAGAGAAAGGAATCTCTCCAAGAGATTGTACTGCAGCGAGATCTGCCAGCTTTTGAATCTACGGCTGAAGTAGCAGACGATATGATGCGGAAGCACGGTGATAGAGTGGCGGTCACGAATGGGACTTCAGATGGGATGCGACTTGTCCAGTTAAAAGCTGGTGCCGTAATTTGGGTACCCCGAGCATCAAGATTCAACCGGACCGTAGCAGGACAGATTCCGTCAGGATGGTCGGCCAAGCGGTATGGAATTAGCGACGAGATAATAGAGCAGGTCGACCCCGTAACTCTATTCTCTCTTGTATGCACCGTCGAGGCTCTTTTGTCGTCTGGTATCACAGATCCTTACGAGTGGTATCAGCACATACACATTTCAGAACTGGGCAACTGTATCGGTTCCAGCATGGGCGGGCTATCCTCGCTGAAGAAGATGCATCGGGACAGATATCTTGATAGGCCAGTGAAGGGAGACATCCTTCAAGAAACGTTCATCAACACCACAGCAGCGTGGATCAACATGCTATTGTTTTCTTCTGCCGGGCCTATCAAAACTCCCGTGGGAGCATGTGCAACATCTCTGGAATCTCTTGATACAGGTCGCGATCTCATCGTGGCAAAGAAAGCCAAAATAGTTCTCGTTGGTGGGGTGGAAGACTTCGTCGAGGATGTATCCTATGAGTTTGGCAGCATGAAGGCAACGTGTGACACTGAAGCTGAGATACGGCATGGCAGAAGTCCAGATGAAATGTCTCGTCCAATGGCGTCATCCAGGGCTGGCTTCGTTGAGGCACAAGGCTGCGGCATCCAAGTTTTGACCTCAGCAGAGCTAGCCCTCAAGATGGGCCTACCGATCTATGGTATTGTTGCGTACACGAACATGTCAGCAGATAAGATCGGTCGCTCCGTTCCGGCTGCTGGGAGGGGCGTGTTAACAAATGCACGCGAACCAGCCCACATTAGGGGTCCTGAGACAACATACAACGTCCTATCCCGATCGTTACTAAATCTGACTCATCGCCGTCAAATGTTGCAGGAGAGGCGTAGTCAGATAAGTGCTTTTGTCACGGACAGCAACCGTTTGCTTGACGAGGAGATTGCGAACCTAGAACAAAACTCCGACTTTACACAAGAAGACATTACGCGTTTCAGGTTGCAACAACTTAGGTTCATACATGAAGAGGCCAGCCGTCAGGAGGCAGATGCAGCATTCGCCCTTGGGAATGAATTTTGGAAGAGTGGATCAAATCAAGCCGTGTCACCAATTCGAGGCTCATTGGCAGCATGGGGTCTAGACGTCGATGACATTTGCGTCGCATCTCTACATGGTACATCCACAGTAATGAACGACTTGAATGAAACTTCTGTTTTACAAAGGCAAATGGCTCACCTTGGACGTCAAAAGGGAAATATGCTTCCCTGTGTCTGCCAGAAGTGGCTGACAGGTCATTCTAAAGGAGCTGCAGGATCTTGGATGGTCAATGGCTGTCTCCAAATGATGGATTCAGGAACGATAGGCGGAAATCGAAATGCCGATAATATTGATGAAGGGTTACAAGAAAATTCACTACTCATGTTTCCAGGAAAAACTCTTCAGGTCGAAGGCGATCATAGCTGCATCAAGGCCTGCTCAGTCACGTCGTTTGGTTTTGGTCAGAAGGGCTCACAAGCTATTCTTATTCATCCTCGATACCTCTTTGCAACGATATCGAAAACCCAGTATGAAGAATACATCGCGAAGAACAGCATTCGACTGAAAAGGGCATCTCAGACCTACTCAGAGGGTATAATCAACGGAGACTTAGTATCGAAGTTTATCAAAGAGCACCAACCTTATCCAGCCCAAGACGAGGAGGCATGGTTGCTTAATCCTGCTATGAGATTGAAAAACTTTAGCTAAGAAATCAAATGTTATTGCGCTTATCAACGTAGAAGGCGTAAGTTGAATGCTTGATGATTGCTGATCTCAACCAGATTGGGTAATTAGCCGTATGAGCTTCGCTAGGACCCATCATCTCTAGATTATGCGCACTTTTAGTCTGATTACAGGCTGGACCCTATAATATTTGCGGAAGGTAGTAGAGGGGGATCTGCCTTGAAGTACTTTGGCACATAGTTTACTGTAGTAAGCTATAATACAGTAACGTAGTGGATAAGCGAGTCGCGCAGGCAAGCGAGTCGCGCACCCTACCAAACCTGCGCACCTTTATCAGCGTATAGCTCCACCACCATATAACTATCTTGATATGTATCAATCTGATATATTAGGTAGTACTTATAGTATCTTTTCTACATGTACGCG